AGAGAAAATAACTTTGCACCAGTCTTCTGCTGTCCAATCCTTGTACTTCCTGCAGAATTCCAGTCTGTCCTTGATGTTTTTCTTGGAGAGAAGTGTCTACTTTGCTGCCCTTCTTGACACCAGGCCCTTTGGAGGTAACCATTGCTAACAAGAACACAATGATTGGAAGTGCTTCTTCCCTCCTTTTATTGCAATCAGTTCTGCTCTTGCAATCTATTTAGTATGATAGTGATTTACCTGACTAGTACTTTTTATTTATTTATTTATTTATTCTTCAGTTAGTTGCCAAGGAAACATTTCTCATTTTAATTTATCATTTAAGCAGTCAGCCGACTGACCAGGAATAGATTTGTGCATCGTGGAGCATAATGGTGGAAGCTTATGAATAATACAGAAACCCTTCAGTTTGGAGAGAAATGGGGGAGTATCCGTGTCGTCCGGCTGACCAGGAATAGATCTGTGCGTTTGCTGGTCGGTCAGCTCGCTCTCCCTCTCTCTCTCTCTCCCTCTCTGTTTAGAGTCTGGCAGATAATCAAAGGCTGTCTCAGATCACACAGAGATCGATAGGATCAGTTCCTCTCCACGCGTCTGCAAACGGCTCCACTTCACCATCCCTCCTCTTTCAGGACCTCGTTTAGAGCGATTCTTCAGGCAGAAAAAGAGAAAAAAATTATTCATTCACATTCATATTGCTCCAAACCCATAGACCTACCTTACTTCCTGCTGAACATCTGCTTTTGTGAAGAAAGTTTGGGTCACTTATAACGTGCATTCGGGAACGTGCCAATTCTGTCCAAATTTGTAATGAGAAGTGCTTGTAAACAGGCTGTAAACCTAAAAAGAGAAAATAAATACAAGTAAATATTAGTATTGTAATATTAGTATTTGTAATTTTACTGTTGTATTCTAAAATAAAATTATTATTGTAATATTTTCTTAAATACTTTTATTTTACAGTTAAATATTGCAATAGTAATATTTTACAGTTAAATATTGCAATAGTAATATTTCTTATTTTTGTTTATTAAATACTTTTAAATAAAAAATATTAATATTTGTATATAACATTATGTAATATAATAATAAATATATAATAAATATTAGTAGTAGTAGTAAAAATAATAATATTATATATATTTTTAATTATTTTAAACTTTTTTAAAATTGCTTTTTATTTCACAGTAAATTATCACAATAGTAATTTCTTATTGTTTAATATTTTATTTAATAATAATAATAATAATTGTTGTTTTTCTTACATACTAAATTTTACAGTGAAATATTACAATAGTAACAATAGTAATATTTTAATATTTCTTATTTTGTATTATTTTGCTTTATCTTTATAATACTACTTCTAATAATAATAATGTTAAATAATGTATTTCACAGTGAAATATCACAATAATATTTTTTATTGTTTTTAATATTTTATTTAGTAATAATATTTAGACGAAGAATTGTTTTTTTTTTAAATACATGCTTTTTAAAATAGTAATAATTTAATATTTATTATGTTTTAAAAATCTATATAATAATTTATAATCACATTGATATATAATCATAAAGTTTTTAGCCAAACAAACAAGCACAGCAAACCTGGAGCTTTTTTTTTTTCTTTTCTTTTTTTGAAATGCATCTTAAATCACAACCGCAATTAAAAGAATAGAATCTCAGTTGGATTTGTTCCCCAGCTCTGTTCAGATGTGAAGCTCTTTGTGCTTTCAGACCTGTGTTGCAGACGGTGGTCCGAGCGTCTGCTTTTAGTGGGCACCGTTCACATTAGTGAGATTAATTCGTAATGTCGCAGTGATTAAACTCGACGAGGGGCCATGCGGCGCTGATCGTGACATTGATTGCTGCTACCTTTAAAAGTGCAGCAGCTGCAGGCATACAAACACACACACACACACGTAAACACACAGTGTCCCGGACTCACTCCGAGGACGAGCCACACACACACACACACACACACATGCATGTTTAATCAAAGGAAGGCCGCTGACGCGAAAGCTCACATCTCTCATAAACCAATACACGTAATAGATAATAGAGAACACACTTCACACCATCAGCACAAACACTGACTGTATACTGCACACTACACACTCTACACTGATGCCTGCTGAGGGCTCGTTGCTTTAATATCGCGTTCCAGTCCAGTATAAAACAGTCTTAAGGGCCGTTCACACAGAATGCGTTTTTCCATTCCAGTGCACTACTTATCTATTGTTTTTCTATGTAAACGCGCACTAGACTGATGTGTATGACCGTTGCACTCGCATCTGCATTTTTTAAGCTGCTTTGTCAAGTTAAAAAAGTTTAAACGTTTACATGCAATGCTGCTCATCAAAGTCAGTTCCAAAACAGTGGACCAATCAGACGACCGTGGAGGCGGGGCAAGCGATGCAAGCTTTTGTTTACAGTAGAAACTTGGCATGGCGACGGTTTTATTTGATGGCAGCATGGCGGAGGACGCATTCTGTGCTGCGCCTTTTTTAAAACCATCCCTGAGCACTGTCTCGTGTTTTTATATGCAAAGATGCAAGACGCATTTTTAGATGCAAGTTCTGTGCGAATGGCCCCTTAGGCTGCAAAAATAATATATATTTTTTGAAGTTATAAATAGATTATTATGTTTTACAAGAAAATACATTCTTTCTACTTAAATATTTCACGTTTAATATAATGTTACTCAACTTATTTTATATATATAACTTATTTTTAAAAATCTATCACACACACACACATATATATATATATATAAATTATAATTTATTTTATTTCAGTTAATATTTATTCTGTTTTAAGTAATAGAAATCTCTTGGTTTTAGGTAACTGTAATAACCCTCGTGTTGCTCTTGGTTTGTGAAATTTGTTAGCAGTTTTTTTTTTTTCAAAGTAAATCCTTCACCAAATTTTTCCTTGTCTTATTTTAAGTTAAAAATAAAGAGTTCAAATATCTAAAAATCCTAAAAACAAGTAGGTCCACTTTGAAAGCAACGTTGCATCAGACTTGTTTCTGACATTTCCTAAATATAAGTCAGTTTTGTCTCATTGCACCGGTAGATTTCTCACTTATTCTGTCACTTATTTTTATACTTGGAAGTAAATAAATAAATACAAATCAGTGCAGTAAGACGAAATACACTCATATTAAATATACATTCCTCTTTAAAAAAATATGTAGTGTTGCTTTTCAAGTAAATTTATTTAGTTTGAAGTATTATATTTATGCATTTTACTGGAAAGCAAGCCTATAGACATCATTTTTGCCATGCATCTCTTGATGGTTTGATCCTAATGAATCAATAAGAGGTTAAATGCAAACAGAAAATGCACACACAGATACAGTAGTGTGAATAGTCCAGGAATAGCATGCAGTGTGTAGTTCTGGTGTAATGCGTCGGCTGCATGTCGTGATGGCTGAGAGCGCCCTCTGCTGCAGGATGAGAGAATCACAGCTCTGTTTCAGTCAATCTGTGACTCACGAGTCCAGTGTTTCGGCTCTCAGAGTTCAATACGAGCCAGACGAGAGAATCAGGAGCATGCATTGGTTTAACTGGTCAGTCTGGAGGGCGTCTGTATTGATGCAGGAATCAATGGCCTCTCGAGGTTTTGCTGTTGCTGACACCTTTATATTACAGCTGTTTCCACACTCGTCACTGCTTTGACAGGAAATTGCATCTTTCACAATTATCGAGCGGGACAAAGCGACTGTTTCTATGGAAATGAGGGCAGAGTATTGCTTCTAATGACGGCTTGTCAAACGCTGCATAGGCCAGTTTCCGTTCCACATAATCACTGGGACGTTTTCAAGACAGAAAGAGCCGAGGCTGGAAGAAGACGTGAGGAGTGACGGCATGAACAAAGAGATGTTTCTGATTTCTAGACGTGATCCGTAATGAAGTGAGGAAAGGCCGGATCGATCTGCTGCATGTGTTCTCATAGACTCACGTTCATCTGCTTTAGAAACACACAGGTCTGACGCTGCATCTGTTTCAGTGCTGGTTATTCCTCTGTAATAATAATAATAATTTACATTAATATTAATAAATTGTTTGTTTGACTTTCCAGCAAATATACATATATAAATGCAGTTTATACAAATAATAAAAAATGAATAATAATAATAATTTACATTAATATTAATAAATTGTTTGTTTGACTTTCCAGCAAATATACATATATAAATGCAGTTTATACAAATAATAAAAAATGAATAATAATAATAATTTACATTAATATTAATAAATTGTTTGTTTGACTTTCCAGCAAATATACATATATAAATGCAGTTTATACAAATAATAAAAAATGAATAATAATAATAATTTACATTAATATTAATAAATTGTTTGTTTGACTTTCCAGCAAATATACATATATAAATGCAGTTTATACAAATAATAAAAAATTAATAATAATAATAATTTACATTAATATTAATAAATTGTTTGTTTGACTTTCCAGCAAATATACAAATATAAATGCAGTTTATACAAATAATAAAAAATTAATAATAATAATTTACATTAATATTCATAAATTGTTTGTTTGACTTTCCAGCAAATATACATATATAAATGCAGTTTATACAAATAATAAAAAATGAATAATAATAATAATTTACATTAATATTAATAAATAGTTTGTTTGACTTTCCAGCAAATATACAAATATAAATGCAGTTTATACAAATAATAAAAAATTATTAATAATAATAATTTACATTAATATTAATAAATTGTTTGTTTGACTTTCCAGCAAATATACAAATATAAATGTAGTTTATACAAATAATAAATAAAAAATATAAGAATTTTAATAAGAATTTTATTTGGTTGAATTTCCAGCAAATATAAATGTAGTAAGTAATTTTCCAACAAATTTAAATGTGATTCATACAGCAAAATACTTGGTATTTTCTGGTTTGATTGCTTTCTCTTTTTATTTGGATCTTGGTGGGCAGAAGACATGATGATTCATGTGTGATTCATATCAAATGAATGAATCAGTCAGACTTCAGTGCGAAAACTTCTCATAATGAAAGACTTGAGTTCAAATCTAAAGACTCAAAACAGTCAAAGTAATGTTATAAAGCAGATTCAGACTGTTGTTTTCAGATTCAGACGCTGTTGTAAATGATCTGATGTTTTTGTAGATGAACTGATCCATTAGCAGATGTTCTGGTTCAGTTTGTGTTTGATATTCAAACCATTTTATTAACCAGTGTCTTTGCTGCTGACCTTCGATTATCCAATTCAATCATACTAATAATCAGAAATGACACATTTGTGTTTTATTTGTGTTATTGCTGAATAGTGTTGAACTTTCTTCTCCTGCGTCATATTCTTCATGTGATTAGTTTAAGCGGCGCCCTCTACTGTACAGACGTGAATTTACATTTCCTTCAGCCTGAGGCGAATTCATTTCACTTTTGGTGTGAAAGGGCTTTTACATTCGTAAAAGAGGATCTTTTTTATATTTAAAACAAGCAAGCAAGCCCTGCCCAGATTTAAAAAGTAACGTGTAACATTACTTTTGCATAAAAAGTAACTAAGTACCGTAATTAGTTACTTTTTAGGGAGTAGCACAATTTTGTAATGCATTACTTTCAAAAGTAACTTTCCCCAACGCTGCGATACAGTAATGAAGTCTCGAGTTATTATTTGAAAACGGAGAGTTCCGGTCCTTGATTCTGATTGGCTGAGCCGCGTTCGAAGCTGTTGTAAATTACTCTACAAAGTAACATACACCTTTGTTTACGTTTGTGTGTTGCTCGGCAACCACTTTGTTGCAACCACAACTGTTTCTGAGGAGCTACATTGTTTGGTGGAAGAATACTGTTTTTATTAATATCATTACACTTTATTTGCTCTGTTTTATTTTGTGAAACCTTACTACGTATATGGAATAACCGTTTTATAAAAGCAATAAGCCCCGTGAAACCGTGGTTAACAGTGAATTTATAACAGCTAGCTCTGCTTCTTGTCGTGCCTAACAACTAGGGATGCCCCGATCCGCCTTTTTCACCTCCGATACCGATTCCGATGCCTAGGGTTCAGTATTCACCGATACCGATCAGATACCAGTGAAGTTTTTTTTTTTTTTCCATTTAAATAAATGTAGAATATCTCTGTGTGGAACTGATAATAATTTTTTCACAATCTACTAAATACAGACTGCTTAATTACACAGAAAAATAAACAATAAATATGAAAAAATATGTATATTCATAATATATGATCAATTAATCGCAACATGAAAATTTGATACCGGCATATCCCTAGAAGTAACACAGAATAATACGCACCATCTCAGATATGGATCGGCCCTCTCTGACCGATACCCGATCTGACGAAAAATGGCAGTATCGGAGCCGATACCCGATATGAATATCGGATCGGCGCATCCCTACTAACAACGCCTCTTAGCTGTTATAAATTCACTGTAAACCACGGCTTCTTGGGGATTATTGCTTTAATATCAGTGAGGACGGATATTGGACCGCAGATAGAATCTCCTCCTAATTTGACGCAGCTGTAATAAAAGTGCTGTAACTCAGTGTGTGTGTGTGTGTGTGTGTGTGTGTGTGTGTGTGTCTCCAGCGGCCCCCAGCACAGACGACGTGGCTCTGTACGTGGGCATCATCATCGCCGTCATCATGTGTTTGGTCATTTCCGTCATCGTGGCGCTGTTCGTCTACCGGAAGAACCAGCGAGACTTTGACTCGGACATCATGGATTCATCGGCGCTCAACGGAGGATTCCAGCCGGTCAACATCAAGACGGCACGCACAGGTACGAGACCGGGATCTTACTCGTCTTATTACTAACTAACTGCTTATTAGCATGCATATTACTAGCATATTGGCTGTTTATAAAGCACATAATAATGTCTTATTCTGCATGACCGTATTTTAGATCCCTTAATCCACCTCATTCCTAAACTTAACTATTAATAAGCAGCAAATTAGAAGTTTATTGAGGGAAATCCTTTAGTTAATAGTGAATGTGTTCCCTATACTAAAGTGTTACCAGCCTGGAACTGTCATAGTCAATGTTTTTTTTTTTTTTTTTTGCTAATTAATTTCATTGGCTAGAAATCAGCCTTTTAAGATTGTAAAGTTATCCAACTAGTCAATTAATTATTATTATTAGTAGTAGTAGTCAAATGATTATTTTTTGAAATATTTTTTGAACAGTAGTGTTCACATATTAAAAAAATATTAATTTGACAAATAATAATAATAATAATGTAAGTAGTCATCCAACTTGTCAATTAATTATTATTATTATTGTCAAATTATATTTTTTAAATTTCTAGAACTGTAGTGTTACATATTAAAAAGTAATAATTTTACTAATAATAATCTAAGTAGTCATTGAACTAGTCAATTTATTATTATTATGTATTTTTTATTTATAGAAGTTTTGTTTACATAAAAATAATAATTTTATCAATAATAATAAAAATTAAAATATAATTTTTTTATACTTTTTTCACCAAGGATGAATTAAATTGATCAAAAGTGACAGTAAAGACATTTATAATGTTACAAAAGATTTCTGTTTCAAATAAATGTTGTTCTTTTGAACTTTCTATTCATCTGTGAATCCTGAAAAATAAAATGTATCACGGTTTCCACAAAAATATTGTGCAGCACAACTGTTTTCAACAAAAATTGATAATAATCAGAAATGTTTCTTGAGCAGCAAATAAACATATTATTATGATTTCTGAAGACTGGAGTAATGATGCTGAAAAACACAGAAATAAATTACAGTTTAACAGATATTCACATAGAAAACAGCTGTTTTACATTCTAATAATATTTCATATTTTTACTGTTTTTACTATATTTTTTTTATCAAATAAATCCAGCCAAAAACATAAAAAATGGTACTGAATGAAAAATGATCTGTCACTTCCTTTATCATTCCAGTGACACATAAAGAGAAACATCATACATTCACTGACAAAAGAGGCTTGAGATTGAATGTTGGTGGTTATGTGATATTTTTAATAGCTACTAGTCAATAAATTAGACCCCAGCATGCCCACAGCAGTTAATTATTTCTGCATCTATACATTTCTGGTTGGGGTCTAGTGAACCAAAGCTACTCATCTGACCAACCCACTGGCTGCTAGTTATTGAAATCACTAGTAGTCTCAGCACGCCGTCCTCTTCTGTCAGTGAGCTGTGTTTGTGTGTCAGTGTAATGATGGAGGACGCTCGTGATCCATTAGAAAGCCGGTCACCTCGATGTCAAGGCAATCTGCACATTAAAAATGTATCACGGTTTCCACAAAAATATTGTGCAGCACAACTGTTTTCAACAACAATTGATAATAATCAGAAATGTTTCTTGAGCAGCAAATAAACATATTATTATGATTTCTGAAGACTGGAGTAATGATGCTGAAAAACACAGAAATAAATTACAGTTTAACAGATATTCACATAGAAAACAGCTGTTTTACATTCTAATAATATTTCATATTTTTACTGTTTTTACTATATTTTTTTTATCAAATAAATCCAGCCAAAAACATAAAAAATGGTACTGAATGAAAAATGATCTGTCACTTCCTTTATCATTCCAGTGACACATAAAGAGAAACATCATACATTCACTGACAAAAGAGGCTTGAGATTGAATGTTGGTGGTTATGTGATATTTTTAATAGCTACTAGTCAATAAATTAGACCCCAGCATGCCCACAGCAGTTAATTATTTCTACATCTATACATTTCTTGTTGGGGTCTAGTGAACCGAAGCTACTCATCTGACCAACCCACTGGCTGCTAGTTGAAATCACTAGTAGTCTCAGCACGCCGTCCTCTTCTGTCAGTGAGCTGTGTTTGTGTGTCAGTGTAATGATGGAGGACGCTCGTGATCCATTAGAAAGCCGGTCACCTCGATGTCAAGGCAATCTGCACGTTATCATGACGCTGTAATTAGCTGCGTCTGTCTGGCACATTGAGTGTTAATTACCCGCGAGCGAGAGCGGCGGGGAAACTGAGGAAATTAGGCTGCAGAGACTTCCAGCTGCAAAACATGTCAGCGTCGACACACACAAACTATATATTGGCCAAGAGACGAAGAGGACAGCAGCGATCCGTTATGAAAACACAATAATTACTTATATGACTTATTTTTATCCATTGAATCTATTAGAGCTTTTGGTTAATAAATTAATAATTCAACAACACATCTGTAAATTTACGGTTCTCTGATGCTGGTTAATGATCACATGACATGCAGGTAAACAAATAAAATATATCTATATCTTTTTTTATTAATTTCTTTTCATATTACTTATTTTTATTTTTTTAATGATTTAATTCATTTAAAACTCTAATACTCCAATACTTTTCTAATACTTTAAAACCCTAATTTAAAGGAAAAATCTTGCTCCAAACCTGTATGAATTTCTTGTTCCAGGGTTATAATAGTTCATTAAAACTAAAACCGTAAAAACATTTTTGTTACTTAGTCGAAGAAAAAAAAAAATAATAAAACTAAATAAAATACTTAAAAAATGTAAACTTATTTTATTTCAGTTAGTTACCAAAGCAACATTTCTCATTTCCATTTAGTATTAACCTGGTGTACTACAATAAAGAAAAAATAAACAATAATAATAATAACAATAATAATTAAATTAAAATTTAAATAAAAAATGGCAAAGCAGTCAAAATTACTGGAACTTTAACTCGCTGTACTGTAAAATTACAATAAAAAGTAAAAATTAAATAAACAATAAAATAAGAAAAACTAATTCAAAATATTTAAAACATTGGAAATAAAATACTGAAAATACTGAAATAAAAACTGTATTTAATTGATTCTATTTTAGTTAGTTGCCAAAGTATTTTTTTTTTCATTTACAGTATTAGTAACTTGATGTACTAAAATAAATAAAACTGAAATAATAATAATAGAAAGGCAAAACACAACAAAATTACTAAAACTAACTAAAATTCAAATGAAAACATAAAAATACAAAATAATAATAATTAAAAAAAAAAAACTTTAATAGAATAATCTGAAAGATTCCAAAGTAACACCATTATCTTCTGAGGAACAGAAAAGATTGTCCATATAATAAACGTGAATGGCGTCCAATGTTGTTTAGACATAAATGTTCTTAAGTAATATCTTTATGACATGAAAGTGAGTAAATGATGTCAGATTTGTGAATCATCCTCTGATTCAGAACATTAGCTTCTTTTCTTGAATGTTGTGATTGTGTTTTGATGCCATTTGGACCGTACAGAATAGTGTTAAATGGCTGTAATGAACACGAAGCGGCCCACATTCACTCTTAGCTGTTGATTTGCGTTTGCCGTTTCTCGCTCACACGGCGACGGGTTGCCATGGTTTCCACAACTCCTGCAGTCATGGAGACTCATTTGCACTGTCAGTTTAACAGTAGTGTGAAGGAGTCGCGAGGCCCCGCCCCCTCGCCGCTCGCTAGAACATTAGCTTCTTTTCTTGAATGTTGTGATTGTGTTTTGATGCCATTTGGACCGTACAGAATAGTGTTAAATGGCTGTAATGAACACGAAGCGGCCCACATTCACTCTTAGCTGTTGATTTGCGTTTGCCGTTTCTCGCTCACACGGCGACGGGTTGCCATGGTTTCCACAACTCCTGCAGTCATGGAGACTCATTTGCACTGTCAGTTTAACAGTAGTGTGAAGGAGTGGCGAGGCCCCGCCCCCTCGCCGCTCGCTCATGAATATTCATCAGGTTACCTGTGAAGGGTAAAGCAGCATCTGCTCTCCATCCGCCGCTGTCTGCCGGAATGAGAGAAGCGACTAACGAGGAAAAAGACTAATGATGACTTTGTTCGCCCCTGAATATACGGCGCTCTTCAGGGAGAAGCGCTTCATCACGCCGCAAATAAATATTAGCCACTAGATTTACCTCAGATGCATTCATGATGTTTACCGGCATATGCTAAACAAACGTGACAGGTTTGTGCAAAGAACTTTAACATTCACATCACAGCACGAAAACAGAAACCAAGCTAGCAACATGTCTCGTCACACCAGTGTTATTTTAGTATAATTTAAATGCTATTATAGTTTTTTAATTAATGTTAATACAATACATTTTTGTTATAATTTTATACAATGTTTCATATTTTATTCAGATTCATGGTTATGTGCTTTTGTGATTTTATTAGTTTTTGTTCTTTTTTTTAATTTTTTTATTACACTTTAGGTTTAATTTGTTTTTATTTCAGTTTGAGTTTTTCTTTATTTTCAGTTAGTAATTCTACTGCTTAAACATCTAAATTTATATTTTATTTTATTATTTATATTTATATTTTATTTCTGCTATATTTCAATTAACAAAAAAATTTGTTTTAATAATATTTATATACATTGTAGTATTTTGTTAGTATGAATATATAAATATTAATATAATTTTATTTTTATAGTTTCAATTTTCATTTTAATTTTATTTTTAAGTTCTAGTAATTTTATGTGCTTTTGCCATTTTATTATTATTATTTGGCTTTAATATATTAGTATTATTTTCAGTTTTTCTTTAATTAATTTATTTATTGTTTTGATGCTTTAACTTATTTCAGCTTGTTGTCAAGACAAGATTTCTAATTAATTATTCATATACTTTTATAGTATTTCACTAATATGAATATATTCATATTGATATATGACATTGACATTTATATATGACATTTTTGAGTTGTTTTTCTTTTAGTTGTAGTCATTTGGTTATGTACAAATTTTGTCTTTTATATTAGTTTTTGTTTTTTAAGTATTACTATTTGAGTTTAATTTCCAGTTTGTGCCTAAACATTAATATTTCGCTTAGCATTTCTAATTTTAAAGCTTTTCATCTAACATTTAGATTTTATTTTATTTTAGCTCTATTTCAATGAACCAAAATGTTTTAAATAGTTTTAGTGGTTACACTTTATTTTGATAGTCCACTTTTGACGTTCTACTAACTATAAGTAACTTTGCAACTACACGTCTACTAACTCTCAGAGTAGACTGTTAGGTTAGGTTTAGGGTTAGTAGAATAAGTTGACAAAGTTTGTGGACCCATCAAAATAAAGTGTTAGA